CCAGTGAAAAAGCCCGACCTCGACGGGGCATCCGACGGGTTGAGCTCGGACGGGGCCCAGCGCGCGTAGGCCCTGCAGCCCGTGGCCAGCAACAGTGACGTGATTCGGCGCAAAGGTCTGGTCAGGTTGGCCGTGCGACCGCGACCCTTGCCATCACTGAGAGCCAGAGCCAAATTGTTCACGAGGAGGAGGAGGCGGTGCCCCTGCAAGGGCCCCGAGCGCAGGAGGTGCCGCAGGGCGAACTCCAGAGCGTCTCCCTCAGACTCTAAGATGTTCTTCCCCATGCGCATGTGCCCTGCTAGAGTGAACCACCTTCCAGTCGGGCTCCTTCAGGATCATTTTGGGGACTTCAGCGAAGCCAGGGGGCCCCGCACCTGCGTGCAGGGAGTTCTCAGAGATGGCGACGCCGTCCAAGCCCCGAGACCCGCCAAGACCCACAGGACCCTCGGGAAGTGTTTTGATGGGGCACTCCTTCGGGCTCACGCAGTGACCAATACCTTCGTCATGGGTGAGGCGCAGCACCTTCAGGATCCTCCGGGGCTCCGGCTAGGGCAGGGCGACGAGCGGCGATAGCGTCAGTGAGCCTGTACCTGACCTTCTCGGCGAGACGACCAATCTCGGCGACGACGGGGACGGGGGGCTTGCGACGGCAGACCCCAATCCCATGCCCCGACGAGTGGGGCGCCGTGACGTCGGGGGCCCAGGGGAGGCGCCAAGACGTAGCCCACAATGGCAGCGTAGCTTGAACCCACTGGAGCTCTCTGAGGACCCCGTCCCAAAGCTTGATCGGCTCAGTGGACCGACTCCTGGCAAATGCAAACGTGGCGGACATCATAGGCAACGTTTCACGTCTGCTCAACATGGTCCAAGTGATATGCCCTACCAGCGTGGATAGAGCACGCGGAGAGATCTTTCGGTGACGCAGCGCTGATCGAATGCCCAGGCGCAAACGAGCGAGGCGAGAGCAGGGCACCCTCATGGTCCCCATTCGCCCCGTCGAACTCGAGGCCCGTGAAGATCATGGAAATCCGCGCCTCCTGGGCCTCATGTGCGGGAAGCCGGTGACGAGAGACGGCCTCCGAGATGAGCTGCAGCTTGCGGTCGGCGAGGACCTGGGGGCCCGCGACTACGCAGAAGTTGTCGACATAGGCAGCGACGGCCCAATCGTCCGAGTGCTGCAGCGCCGTGGGCGCCGCCCCATCGACGATGAAGCGGCTCGCATCCACCCCCGCGTCCCGCGCGATGATGTTGCATGGCGCGTCCTGGCAGAAGTGCAGTGCTCAGTTCCACCCCATCGGCATAACAAAAATCTCAGGCACCACGTCGATGTCAAGCCCCATGCCATCCCATCGGAGTACCCGATTCGTGACGCACGGTAGAGTGAAGGCGTGGGAGAGGTTCGAGGGTAGCTGCATGTGATAGAAGGCGCACTGGATGTCCGCCGACGCGATGTGGCCGTTTATCTCAGGGCTGATCTCCACGCCTGCCCACGATGAGCTCGTCGGCAGCTTGGTCCCAGCTGGCTCCACAAAAGAGATTTGCAATGCGCGTATCAAAAACCAGCCGCAAACTGCCATCCTTCTTGGTCACGAACACCCCCGCAGAGGGCTGCTCTCGGTGCTGACGAGGACGAAACCTGAGCATTCCAGCTGCATCCAGTCGACGAAGGAAGTCAGCGTAGCGGTCGGGGCAGCACAAGAGAAGCGGGTCGACGTAAGGCTTGACCAGTCCAGCCTCGCTGCGCCTGGCCTCTGCCACGGACTCGGAGACCAGCGTGCTCGTCCTCCATGACCCTAGCCGAGAAAGAGAGGCCGCGCAGCAGATATTGACCAAAAGTGTAGGGGTCGTCCCAGCAGCGGGCCAGGACACAGAGTCCTTGGCGTAGGGCCTTACCGTGGTATCGTCATCACAATAACCAGGTGTATGTCGGAGCAGCTCTTCAAGGGCAACATCCGAGGTGGCGTTGTTGACGGGCATGTCAGACGGCCACGAAAAAGATTGAAATGAGTCGGCGATGTGCTCAAGGGCGAGCCTCTGTGGAAGGTTAGCTGCGCCGTCGGGAGCCACAACCTCAAGCCCACCACTGCGCTGGCCGTTGAAGGCATTCAGGCTGTCTATGCACTCGTTGGCTCAGGTCCTCCAGTCTGCGCCTCGGTCACACCTCTGTCGAGAACGACGAGACACACAATTCCCGACGACCGTCGACAGCAAGCCGAGGTAGAGGAAAAATACCGCGCTGGCGATCGTCGTTGTCGACCACCATGGGGAAGCCGTGCAGCTCCTGGCCCAGCAAGTCCCAGCGGCCTCTCGCGAGGGGCCCGCCGCTGGGATGCGGGGCTCCTGTGGCTATTGGCGCAACGCCCGCTCCTCGCGGGCCTTCCTGCGCTCTTTAGCCACCGCAGCCTCGGCTTTCAACTCGTCCGCGATCCATGAGCTGAGGAGAGGGCGCGCGCAGACGTTGCCGCGGCTCTCCTGCGCGCCCAAGAACAAGTTATTCTCAACCCGATCGTCCAGCACGTGGCCCTTGTCCTTATCCTTCTTGTCGTTGCCCTTCGGCTTGAAGGACTGCTCCACCACCTTTTCCTCCAGCAGCTGAAGTCGACGAGCCGTCGTCTCCAGATGTGCCAGCTCGCTGACATTCACCTGGTCGTAGCACACTGCCAGCTCCAGGATGCGACAGAGGAGAGCATGCTCCCGCGTGATGGGGTCGTCCTCCGACATCTTCCACTCCGTCATCCACTTGGTGTGCCACGCGGACGGCGACGCCGCGTGGCGCTGGATGTGGGCACGCACCCAGGCAGCCGTCCTGGGCCCGCGGACGGGCCAGTCGCCCCAGTTGGTCGAGCTCTGGAGCAACGTCCCGTCGCGGAACTCCCTCCAGCGGTCGCCCCGTGCGTCCAAGCACACGGCGTTGACGCGCAGGTCGGCGGGGGTGCCTCCAGCAGCGGGCGCGGCCGCCGCGGGCACCACGAGCGCCCCTCCAGCAGCCGCAGCGACGGCGGGGGCGGCCGGTGGCGCGGCGGGCGGGGCCGCGGGGGCGGCCACAGCAGGGGCCGCCGCGGCTAGGGCCACCAGCGCGGGGCCAGCGGCAGCAGCGGCGGGCGCAGCGCCAGCCCCCGCCAAGGCAGCGACCAGGCCAAGCATCGCGACTGCGCCAGCGGGCGCCGCGGGGGCCGCTCCCGCACCCCCCGCAGGGACCCCCGCGCCAGCGGCGGCACCCGCAGCGGGAGCGACAGGGGCGAGGGGGCCCGCGACGGGCGGGGCCACAGGGTCAGCCAGCGCGAGTCTGCCAGCTGGTAGGCCCCCCGCGTTGCCCGCCGCCAGCGACATGCTAGCAGGCGAAGCGGGGCGGGGCGTGCCGTACAGCGCCGCCGCCTCCTGGATGCCTGGCCACACATCCGCGGCCGACGGCAAGGCCCTGAACCCGTACACGCGCAGGCCCGCAGGCCGCTCCCGTTGACCAGCAATCGTGATGATACCCTCGATGTCTGCGTCTGGGATCCCGCTCTCCTCGTAACGATCCCCGTCAGGAGTGATGACGTACTCGGTAGTCCCAGGGCCGCGCATCACGATGAGCCTCTCATGCCAAACGTGCGCGCCCCCGATGCGATACTTAACCAACGCCCAGTAGAGCTGGTGCGACATGATCAAGCGCTGATGGCCCTCCTGGCCCTGACGGCCCTTGCCTGGGCCCGCGCCTCTTCGTCAAAGTCTGCAGCGGGCGCCTCGGCGGTCCACGGGCACGAAAAGCGAGTGACGGCCAGCGCACCTCCGACAGCTCCGACGGCGAGGCCAACAGCCAATGCGGCCGCCGCGTAGGCCGCGATGAACCCACCGCAGGCGGGCTCGGGCACCTGGCCGCCAGCACCCGCGCAGACGCAGGCAGGGATGGCGGGATACGCCAGCTGCGGCGCACAGGCCCCGCAGCTCGGCGCGGCCGCCCGTGCCACCAGGGAAGCTCCCACCGCCTGAGCCCGGTATCGCAGAATGTCTGTGCAGGACTGGGCGAGGTCTTGCATATGGGAGCTGCACAAATTAAAGACTTGAGCCGCCGTGGTTGCGGCCCATACCATTGCAACGATCAACGCACTCAGCAAGCAGTTATATGATGATGATGATGATGATGATGATGATGATGATGATGATGATGATGATGATGATCATCATCATCATCATCATCATCATCATCATCATCATCATCATCACGGCGTTCCCAAGCCTGGAGACACGAGGTGCCGCACGTGACGGCCTCCCGCGCCCCCTCGAACGGTCACCACCCAAAATGCTGGACTGGCGCGGCGGCGGGACCTACCGCAAGCAACCAGGTATACTTGACATGTGAACCCCCTTGTTCGCATCCGCTCGCCGAATGACCGCCTGACGAGGCTGGAGCGCAACTTGAGCGTGCTGCGCCGCGCCGCGCCGCGCCCGATTCCTGCCCAGACCACGACGCGTGCCTCTGCTACTGAGAGAGGATAGGGCCAGGGAGAAGCGACACCACCACCACCAGGGACTAAGAGCGGGACGAGCCAAGGGGGGGTCCTCCTTGTGGTGTGGCCCCCCCCTCGCGCTCAGGACCTTCCCTATCCCCAGCCCCGGGTGGGCATCGTGGGACCTCCTCGCTGGAGGTGGCACCCATCCTGGTGGTGGCGGTGTCGCTTCTCCTTCCCCCCCCGAGAGGGACCTCGCCTGGCTGTCATCTGCGCGCTGTGCGGTACGCTTTCTCTATGATTAGGTCGGGAATGTCCTCCTACAGGCGGATTTTGGGCGAGAGTTGAAAAGCACGCAGAAAATAATCAAAAGAAAATGTTCAGACTTGGTAGAATCATCGACGATGTCTGACTATTTTTGCATCTGCCTCCTGTAGAGGGACATGCCCGATTAAACTCTATGACCGCCCTGCCCTCACATCTTCTTTTCCCAACCAGCACAAGGGGACAGCACACTGCACCGAACTGGCCGGGCCGCCGCCCTTCGCGCGACGGGTCTCAATCCCGATCTCAGCTCCGTCTCCTGCAGGCGGCGGTGGTGGGGAGCGACCCGGGCCCGACGAGGAGCAGACGCGGAGAATCGTGCGAAGCATTCGTGTAGCAGGGCTGGACCTAAAGGCAGTTTTTCGTGTTGTTTTCGTTTCGTATTTCGTTTTGCTCTACCTGTTTTCCTCCACCCTCCCTGCCGAAGTATTCATGTAGCAGGGCTGGTTCGTGTTGTTTTCGTTTCCCATTTCGTTTTGCTCTACCTGTTTTCCTCCACCCTCCCTGCCAAACCAAAACAGGACACAGGCGAAGTCCACAAAAGCAGCGCTTAGAGGTCCAGCCCTGCCTTGTAGAGGGACAGAAAGTTGAGTACGGCAAGTTCGCATCTTGCCGACTTCGGCGCGGGTTTCTGACACCACGGGGATCCTTCAACCTTGAAAGATCGGCCGTTTCCGAAACGTCCAAATCGTTCAGCATCGACCGATTCTTGGTCGCCCGCGGCGTTCAACATTGAACGCCGCTGGCGGGGTCGCCGCGGGTCGACACGACACGAGCCTACCGTGACTGTCGGATGTCGCGCGACGGCAAGGGGGGGAAAGACGTGGAGGCCCGCCCCCCTACTCGTCGGGCTAGGTGCTCCTTCTGGGGATCTCCTTGGAGGCACTCGCTCCACTCATGCGTCGGTTCTGCATCGAACGATTGTCGACTTGAGTCGATCGTGAGTCGAGTCTGAGACGAGCTAATCTCGGACTCAAAAACTAAGAATCGAGTTGAAAAGATCCGTTAGGTGGCTCCCAGGAATCGGGGAGCACATCGGGGAGACCAAAGGGTACCGATACCTCTACTCCCAAGACCTCTCCAGGGGTGCGTTCTGACCAAAATTTCGAGGCGAATCAAGCGGTGGCGACGAGGGCATCCCATGAGGCCCAAACAGGGGAAACGAGGAAAGGGTAGCAATATGGGTACCTCGTCCTCCCCTGGGAACTAATGACATAAACGTAAACTTCTGGGTTCCAGCAAATCGGGGGGCAAATCATGGCATAACTAAACCTTGACTTTCGGAGGCAAACGCGGATTTCTCGGATCGGCGCTGAACCCCCTATCCTTAGGTCGGGCATGTCCTCATACGGATTTTGGACGAGAAATGCAAAATACACCAAAAATGCGAAACAAATCAGAAATAGTAAAAAAATCGTCTCCAGAAGATTTTTTGAATATTCCTCCAGCAGAGGGGCATGCCCGATTTAACCGTATACTGGGCGCGCGGAGCGCGCCAGGAGCGGCACCGGAGGAGCCGCCAATCGGGGGGGGGGGTTCTAGCGCCCCTCCGCGAAAGCCGCGCGGACCTCCGAAAATTGAAACTGTTTCAGCGAGGTTCGTGCGGCGTCGGCGCGCACCAAAGTGCTCGACACTGCGTCGATCGTTCAACCTGGAACCGATCGCGGACCCGATCGTTCGAGGTTAAACTCCGTCGAGTCCATGGGCAGTACCGTCTCCCTAGGTGCTTCCGCGTCGCAGACCTCAACCTTGAACGCCTTTGCCGGCGTCGCTGGCGCGCCAACGTCGCATGAACCTACCATATGATGTCCTTAGTTGCTCCCCGAAGGAAGCTTCATAAACTGAGTATCTAAAATTTTGGTGATCTCCGTTCCCCAAGGGGGGCAGGGTCAGCCTGGGCCGAGCTGCCCCGTGATGCTGCAGTGGCTGGATGCTGGATATCTGCAGCCGGGCATGTCCTCCTACAGGCGGACCTGGGAAGAAACATACAAAATGGTCAACAGATGTTCAAAATAAGTCCTAACATAATCGAAACAACGTCACCTGACTCTTATTCGATTCTACAATTTTCTCTGATATTTCTCCTGTGGAAGGACATGCCCGACTTGCCCTGCCCCTGCAGGTCAGATTTCTGCAACGCCGGCTGGGGTTTGGAACCAGAATGACATCTGCAGCCAGCTGAACCCAGGCGGGGGTGTCCGATACCCACTCGTGTAAAGGGTAGGGATTGCAAGGGTCGCAGAAAGAGGAGCAGCGGTACAGAAGTCATCAAGCACAAACATTTGTGTCGGAGGTCTTGGTGGATTTTTCGGATCGGCGCTGAAACCCCGTGGCGTGGTTACCCTCCAGCGCCGTCCATGGCGCGCTCCGCGCGCCAGGGACGGGGGACTGGCCCGTCGAAATAATCCGCGCATGGCTCTGTGCCTCCTCTTCGAAAGAGGTGGTTCGCCCCCCAGCCATCCCAAAATGCGGGGGCGGTGCCGGGAAGGACCCGCAATCTGCGGGTGCGCCGAACAGGGGGCCAGTAACTGAAAGGGAGGGGTTTGGGGCATCTTGGCCCCAGGCCTGTGCGCGGACGAGGGTGGCCCAGGGGGCGTGTTGAGAGAGGGAGAGGGGATGAAATCGGGGAGATTTTGCGGCAACATGGTCGGGACACCATATCCACACACCCCAAAAGGCCATAGTCCTCAACCTCCCCTTCGGCGCCTGGTGGTTATTGGCTCATGGTATCTCGGGTCTCAGGGGGCCGTTTCGGACGATCTGGGCACCCCGGGGAAAGCCATCGACGAGACGCAGCTAATTGAAAGCACTCTGGGGCGAGGAAACCATCCCGAACCCGACGAAACCTTCCTCCATGATGCCCTCGAGACCCCTGACATCCACCGATACGTTTCTTTCATCCCGCGGCCCAAACATTCCCGACTTCTTCCCTGAGGGCAAGTCTCAATCCTGGATGAACTTTTGATGGCCCCCCAGACCGGCCCGCGGAGGCCAAGATTCACGAAAAAACGCAAAAGTTGAACAAACAAAATTCATCGCTGGACCCTGAGACTCGACGTTGAAAAAACCATCGCAACGTAATTCAAAATCGCGACTAGAGCCCCAAACCCAATCTTTCTGCTGGATTTTTCAAACGGGACCGATCCGTGACAGTCTGCTGCCCGAAAGAAGGCAAACTCGCCAGTCCCACACATCCGGCGCTGCAAGTCTAGAGGCTTTTTTTTTGGATTCGGGGGAGTTTACTTGCATGGACGGGGGGGGGGGCCTGAGCTTAAAGCAAGCCGAAAACAACTTGACGTGCGGAAATCACGCAAGTCGAACGGCACTTGCATGCTCGTGTTCGATTGACGAGGGGCGAGGGGAGAGAAGGGTAAGGGGGGGGCGAACGCCATGCAAGTAAACTTGCCTGGATCTAAAGACAAACAAGCTGAAGTCTGGACAGCTTCCCAAGGGCCGGTGCTTCATCCAGAACCGTTTCCGGAACGTCCCGCGGGACTCGTGGAGGGCCCCCATGCAGAGGCCGCACATGGCCCCAAACCGCCGGCTCCAACCTCGGATCAAAAAATGGGGGGCCAGCGAGGGCTGCAGAAAGTGGCCCTTTATAGGGCTCAAGAGGGAACCTTTCGGGCCCGAAACGGGCACCTTTCTTCCCCCCATATATCGCCACCCCCCAGGACCCAATCCCCCGACGTCGTGATTTCTTGATAACGTCGACCCCTGGAGGTCTGGACCCCTTCCCAGGGACCGGTTTTTCGTCCTGAGCTGACTTTGACGGTCCCAGGGCCCAGTAAGGGCCCCCGAAGGCCGAAAATGGCCAACAACATCCCAAGTGATTTTGTTCACGACGCGAGGGGGTCTGGGTTAGTTCCCGCCCGAATATCGTGCCAACAGTGCGACGCCCGGGCCGGGGGGGGGGCGCTCGAGGATGTCGAGCTCCCCACCTCGCAGGAGAGCCCAGAATCGAATCGATAAGTCGGATCGGCTATCGACATGAATCGGATCGGCAGAAATCGGCAGCCAAGTTGGGAAAAGTCGACTCGGCGGACATCGGCAGGCTAGTGTGCCCCCACTGAGACATCGGAGCCCGAATCGGAATCCCCAATCGAATCGGATCGGAATCGGAGGCCATCGAAGTCGAATCGAATCATAGGAATCGAAACGAACCTGCCTCGCTTGGCCCGGCCGCCCGGGAGGGAGGAGATGCGAGGCGGCAAGGGGGGTCTCCCTGGTGGTGTGGTCCCCCCCCCTCTCGCTCGAGAGACATCCCCGGCCTCCAGCTCGGGGAGGCACCGTGGACCTCCTCGCTGAGGGTGGGCCCCTCGGTGGTGTTGGTATCGCTTCTCCGAACGCATGAACATCGCCCCCCGCCCCCCTATACGAGGAACTTCAGACCTACTAGGCCGCGCGTGCGCCCCCCCCCCCCCCCTGCGTCGGCTGGCAGCGGCCTCGCTGGCAGGGCGCCTACACTTGCGCACGCTCGCCACCATTCCAGAGCGTGGACACGTGAGATCCATTGTTGTGGGGGCTGGGGTCGGTTTCCCACTTTGGCGGCGCGCACATGGGGGGTGGAGGGAGGGGGGAGGGCTTCTTAGAAGGAGGCTGCTTCTTAGAAGGCGCCAGCCGTACATCTACAGATAAGGCCCGCGCCTTCTAAGAAGCAGGGGTGCTTCCAAGAAGCCCTCCTCCCTCCTCCCCCCAACCCCCTCTGCGCGTGGCTGACCACTGCTCATTGTCCCCCGCTCCGACCCATCTCGCGTGGCCCGGCCGCCCCATGGGGCGAGGCAGGGGCGCGAGGCTCCTGCGGCCGGGCACCGGGCTCCTCAGGGCCTCCACGGCCTCTACGGCCGCCCTTGGAGGGCGCCGCCCGGGCGGGGCAGGGTTGGGAGGCAACTCCCGGCCTAGACATGATCGCGTTGCGTTTTGCTCATACTTTTTGAAAACAACAAACACACACACGGCGCACATCTTTTTGCCATTTTCGGCCTCCCGGGGCCCTCGCCGGGCCCTGGGACCGTTAACAAAAAGGCATCAGGATGAAAAACCGGTCCTGGGGAAAGGGTTGGGACGTCCGGGGACTGCGTATTGAAAACATCAGGGCGTCGCATGTCTGCGGGGGGGGTCTTTGGAGCGATTGGACAGGCTCAGGACCCCGTAGACCCGCACACGCTAGACCCGGACACCCAACATCCCTCGAAACCAATTTTTTCAAACGGCAGCACGAACAAAATACTGCACTGCAACATTTCCAAAATAAACCCGGACACAGGCCCCAAAAGCCTGCAATATCTCCCTAAACCCGGACACAAACCCGAATCCTGCAATGCAACAAACAAAACATGCACGGGTGCTGAAAAACGTGACTTTGCAGGAAAGGATGTCGTTTCTTTGGGTTTCCGTGTCCTGGTTTATCTGTGTCCTGGTCTCTGGGGGCCTGACAGGCTCAGGGGGCAAGGTTTCCGGACGCTTTCGGCTCGGAGTGGGAGGTTTTCGGGTGTTTTCGCTGGCTCTCGGCGCTTTTTTCGCCTTGGGATGCTCTCCAGCAGCTGCGCCTCGCCGAGGGCGATCCCGGGGTGTCTGGGGTCGTCCCGAACGGCCGCCAGAAGTCCGAACGATGGCCCGAAAACCACCAGGAGCAACGTCGCTGTCACGTTCTGCACTGCCGCAAGCAACCTAATGTGTCGCGACGGTGCCGCCTGAAAATGCCCCGGATGCGAAATGTGAGCGTTTTTTTGTTCGGCGTTTCGACATTGGGCGAAAGGGGGGGGTCTGGCTCCAGACCTCTGCTTCATGTGACTGTTTGCAGCAGTGCGTCCTATGGGGGGGCCTCCATCTGCTCGAAGCAGGCGCAGAAAACAGCCAAGATCTACTCCAGGGTGGGGGGGAGGGGCGGGTGCGCGGGCCCGCGCCGATCGGCAAAACAAGGAATCCGCCGATCCGGCGTGTGAGTTTCAAGGAGTCTCAGCTACAGCCTCGAGGCTGAGCCTCAGCCTCTGGGGGGGTTGCCGGGGTGGCTCTGCCGGGGAAGGGGGGGTGTGGGGGGGGGGGTGCGAGTTTCCGGCGGATGGGTTTTTTGACACCCCTCACAAAGATCGTGACCTCCGAGGGGGTTCCGAACTCGAGTACCACCCCTCCCGCACCAAGAGGCTCCGAGGAGGCCTCCAAGAGGCCCCAAGGGGCGCAGAAGAGGCCCCCAAGAAGCCCCAAGAGGCTCCCAAGAGACCCCCAAGAGGCCCTCTAGTGGCCCCAAGAGGCCCAAGAGGCCCCCAAGAAGCCCCAAGAGGCGCCCAAGAGGCCCCCAGAAGTCCCAGCCAACCACGAGATCCCAACCAGCATCCATGAGGCCTCTGACCCACCACCCACGCACGGTGGCGGGATAGGCCGACGGCCACTGGATCCGCCGCCCCCTGTGGTCTTGCCACAGGGGTGCACGGCGTGCTGGACGTTTCAGGTTTTGGTTTTGGTTCTTTTTCTAAAAGAACTCCCCAGTGGGCTTCGGCCCGTCCCGCCGGCCACCCGTAAGTTTCCGAAAATCCATCTGTCAATGCCTTTGTTGCCCCAACTTGGCCCAAGATGGCCTCCAAGACGGCCAAGATGGCCCAAGATGGCCTCCAAGACGCTCCAAGACGGCCAAGATGGCCTCCAAGACGGGTAAGATGGCTCCAAGATGCCTCCAAGACGGCCCAAGATGCCCTCCAAGACGGCCAAGATGGCCCCAAGATGCCTCCAAGATGGCCCAAGAGGCCTCCAAGACGTTCTCCAGGAGAGCCCGAAGAGGCCAAAATCATTGGTTTTCCTTAGGTTTTTCAAGGTTTTTTGCGTTTTCTTCTTTTCGGCCTTCCGACGGCCCAAGAGGCCCCCAAGATCGCCCAAGAGGCCTCCAAGAAGGCCCTATGACGGCCCAAGGGCCCCCCAAGACGGCCCCAAGAGCGCCCCAAGACGGCCCAAGAGGCCTCCAAGACGCCCAACATGGCCTCCAAGACGGCCCTGAAGCGCCCCAAGAGGGCCCCAAGACGGCCCAGAGAGGCCCCCAAGACGGCTCCAGACGGCGTCAGACGGACCAGGAACGCCCTAAGACGGCCAAAGAGACCCCCAGGAAGCCCCCAAAGGCCCCCAAGAGGCCCAAGGAGGCCCCCAAGATGCCTCCAAGAGGCCTCGAAGAGGCCCCCAAGAAGCCCCCAACAGACCCCAAGGGTGCCCCAAGAGACTCCTAACAACCCTCATCCTCCTACTCTATTTCTTCCTCTTCCTCTTCCTGTTCATAATCATTCTCTCCCATGTGTTCCCCGAAAGCTTTCCAAACCGACTCGGGGAACTCATGGTCCGATAGCTTGGCCAAGCTCTAATCCAACTTTCGGCCACATCGGCGTCTCCAAAAAGGCAGGGGGCGGCGGTGATTCGCCGTAGGCGTCTTCGATAAATGCTGAGTGAGAGGAGGGGAGGGAAAAAGAGAGGAGGGACGAGGGCGAAGAAGGATCACATTAGTCGGAGCGCCCCGGATCGGCGGCATTGGCCGAAGGCCACTACAATAAGAAAACGATCACAAGACTGAAACTGGTGATATTTGCTGGGCGACTGCGCCTTCAGTGCCTTCGGTGCGCTACCGAGATTTGGCAAGGGCCTGGCATAATCGCTCACCAGCGACAACCTTCAGCACGTAGTCAAGTGTTCCAAGGCTCGTGCAGTGCTGAAAAATCAATAGCTGCAAGGTTCTGAAGGCACGGGCGTAGTTGTTTTGAAAAACCCTGGGGGAGTGAGTCCCACCAGCCCTCTGGGCGTAGGTGGTCAAAGGAGGTTCTTCTTCCAACCCTTTTCCTTCACCTTCGGGGAAGGGTTGCTCACTGTTCCTGATTCGTGTACACCCCCTCTCCCAGGCGACCGAGGACCGACCAAACACCATGCCGACACCATGCCCACCCACCCCCCACCATCCGTATCAAAAAGCAATACGAACCGCACTCTGCCTCCACATGTGTAGCATGCGCGGCCAACCCGATGCGCCCCCCACCATCTTTGTCAGAAAACAATGCAAAGTACACTTTGGGGCAAAATCTTGAGTCATGTTCGTGAGGCCCGCGAACACTTCGTATTGTTTTAAACAAGGACGGCGGGGGTGTCAGCATATGCCCTGCTGTGCGCAGGGCTACCATCCTTGACAACAAATGCAACATGCACCTCGCGACGAACTCTGGATCATGCGCGGCCATCCCGCGATCACTGCCAAGTGGTTTTTGACAGGGACGGCGGGGGTGGTGGCGCGTGTCCTGCTGTGCGCAGGCCCAACAGACACAATGATGGGCATCGATTTTCGACAAGCATGGCGGGGGCCGACATGTGTTCCGATGTGTGCTGTCACGTGCGCGGGAGCATCTGACGCACCCTGCACGTGCCCCGAACGCGGCGCACCTAGCGCGGCTGGAGTGTGTGTGTGTGTGTGTGGCACACCTGGCGCACTCGGAGCACGTGCCCAGCGCGCTCGGGCCCCAGGGGTGCCTGGCACGCGTGGCGCCTCTGGTACGCGTGGCGCACTTCGCCCAAACGTCGCGTACCTGGGGTCGGCTTTGGTTCCCAGTCGCTGTCCACCCGAAGACGACAGCTGAACATGCTCGGGCTCGGGTGTTACTTGTGCGTAGGGAGGGCGGGTGGGAGTGAACTCGACGGCTTGCGGGCGGGTGGGTCTTGACCCCTCCCCCTCCCCCTACCCCCTCCCCTGGACCTGGGCGGGGGGGGACCGCGACGCGTTGGAACGTCCAAAACGGCCTCGGCCAAGAAGCCAAACTCATTGGTTTTACTAAGGTGTTGGCCCCATGTGGGCCCCCCCGAAGGGGGAGGCTAATTGAAGCTCCCCCTTCTTTCATCGATCTCCTCCAAGATGGCCCCAAGAGGCGCCCAGGAGGCCCAAGAGGCCTCCATGAGGCTCCAAAAGGCTTCAAAAGGATCCCCGAGGCACCCGCTGTGCCCCCCAGACGCTCCAAGAGGGCCCCCCCGAAGCACCCAATGCGCCCAAGAGCCCCCCCAGGACCGCCAAGAGGCCCCCAAGACGTCCTAAGAGGCCACCGAGAAGTGCCCAAACGATATCCCAAGAGGCTCTGAGAGGCATCCAAAAAGATCTCCGGCCCTTTTGCTCGCTCTCCTCCTCCTGCTCCCGCGCTTCCCTGATCACCTCAACTCGCCTGGACATCGTTTCTGGATGGGCTGGTGGGGATGCTCTTTTTGATCGCGACCGCGAGCGGACGCCCGCGCGGCGTCACATAGTCAGGCAGACAAGCGAGGGGCAGCCATGCCGAACCAGCTACGCGGCACCGTGCGCAAGCAAGGGGAAGCGAAACGACGAAGGAACAAAAGCGATAGAGAGAAAGAGAGAGAGAGAGAGAGAGAGAGAGAGAGAAAGAGAGAGAGAGAGAAAGAGAGAGACATAGAGAGAGAGAGAGAGAGAGAGAGAGCGAATATAATAATGACGGCAGAGAGAAGACAGAAAACGGCGACGAGAGAGAGGAACATAGGGGGCGGGAGAGAGAAGAACAGCCGCAGCTCAGACGTGGAACAAGTAGGGGATCACCCTCGCCTTGCTGTGCTCCGTGTACTTGACTTAAGTAAGCAGCGGGGGACTCGAAACCAATTCAGTTATCAGATGCCGATGCCAAGTAATAACCAGGTGACCGCAGAGCCGAGGAGTGACCAACGGCGGTACGAGCCAAGTGGAAGCCCGACAAACCCTTGCTGAAAACCGAAAGGCAGCACCCCAGGCCATCTCCAGTGCCAACAGGGCCGACTGGGTGAGGGGGGCCACCCGCTCCTCGTGCCCCGGGGGGAGCATAGGGTGCAGGGCGCCCGACAGAGAGAGGCAGCAGACAGCCGCCAGGAGCTCGATTACCTTCAGGGGGGAAGCGGCTGACAGCCGCAGGAAGGCGGGTGTCCGCGCCAGTATGGCCTGTGACCAGCCCGCGGCCCTGGGGGCGCAGCTAACAACCGCGGAAGCAAAAATGTGTCGCCTGAGACAAACCGGCGCCCAGCGGGGGTGAAGCTAGCGGCCGCGGAGTGAAGAGAAAAGGTTTCACCTGAGGCACCCTGATACATGGGCGGAGTGCAGCTAACAGCCGCAGAGCGTTGGGGAAATGCTTCGCCGGAGACATGCAGGTCCTCTGGTAGGGTGCAGCTAACAGCCGCAGGATGGTGGGACATAGTTTCGCCTGAGACGTGCAGCTGCCCAGCAGGGGCGTGGGTAACAGGGGCGGTCCGGGGGGTACGGGCCGCGCCTGCCTGGACGGTTGGGGTGCAGCTAACTGCCGCAGGATGCTGGGTAGGCTGGTGGGGATACCCGAAGCGTGTAGAATGACTTCCCGTTTTCAAGATCGACATTTTTTTCTGTGATGGGAACCGTTTGTTGCTCCGTTTTGGGATTGCAGTCTCCGTTTTCGGTGTTCGGTTCTTTTAGGGCACGGGCCACCCATTTCACAAGGATTCCCGGGGATTCCCACAGTGTGTGGCGTTCGTTCCCAAGAAGGTCCCAAGACGGTCCAGGAGGGCCCCGAATCGCCGCACGATCGGTCCGAGACATCCAAGATGGTTTTACTCGGCCGAACAAGCGCCCAAGACGTCCCAAGAGGCCTTCAAGAGGCGTCCCAAGAGGAACCCGAGGGGCCAAAATCACTTTTTGGTACGTAGGTTTTTCTGTGTTTTGAGGGCTCTTGACTTTTCGAGTTTCCAGCTCTTCATGACGGCCCAAGAGGCCCCCAAGAGCGCCCCAAGAGGCCCCCGAGAGGGCCCCTAAACGACGCAGTAGGGCTCCAAGACGGCCCCAAATGCGTCCAGGACGACCCAAGAGAGCCCATAGACAACCCCTGAAAGACCCAAGAGGGGGGAACACGAACCGTAAATCTGAGTCTTCCGATCCAGCATGCCCCTGGGAGGCTCCAAGGAGGCGTGAAGAGGCCCCGAAGAGGCCTCAAGAGACCCCCAAGAGGCCTTCAAGACGCCCCAAGAAGCCTCGAAAAAACTCCCAAGAGGCTTCCAAACGGAACCCAAGAGGCCCACGATGGCGGGATGGGCCGATGGCGGGATGGGCCGAAAGCCATTCGATCCGCCGCCCCCTGTCGATTCATCGCAAGGGTGCCTGGCGTGCTAGATCCTTTCGGTTTTGGTTTTGGTTCTCTTTCCAAACGAACTCTCCCAATGGGCTTCGGCCCGTCCCGCCGGGGTCCCGGGAGGATTGCCCAGGACCGCAAACTCCACGAACAATCCTCCCTGAAACGGCCGTTTCGCTAGGGACATCCTTAACACATCGCGAAGATGGCCCAAGATGGCCTCCAGGTCCGCCCAAAATGGTCCAAGACGGCCTCCAAGACGGCCCAAGAGAGTCCAAGGCGGCCCAAGAGGCCTCCCAAAGGCCTCCTGGACGGCCCAAGAGGCCTCCAAGAGGTCCTCCAGGAGGGCCCGAAGAGGCCAAAATCATTGTTTTTCCTTAGGTTTTTGAAGGATTTTGGAATTTGCATCTTCTCGGCATTCCGACGGCTCAAGACGGCCCAAGAGGCCCCCAAGATCGCCCAAGAGGCGCCCAAGAGGGCCCAAGTGGCCTCCAAGATGGCCCCAAGAGGGCCCCAAGACGGCCCAAGAGGCCTCCAACACGCCCAAGATGGCCTCCAAGACGCCCAAGATGGCCTCCAAGACGGCCCCGAAGCGCCCCAAGAGGGTCCCCCGTTGGCCCAGAAAGGCCCCCAAGACGGCTCCCGACGGCGTCAGACGTGCCAGGAACCCACCAAGATGGCCGAAGTTGGCTCGAAGATGGCCCAAGACGGCCCAAGAGGCCCCCAAGAGGGCCTCCAGGAAGGCCAGAAGAGGCCCAAATCATGGATTTTCCTTAGGTTTTTGACGGATTTTGACGTTTCCTTCTTTTCGGCCTTCCGACGGGCCGAGACGGTCCAAGAGCCCCCAAAGATCGCCGAGAGATCGGCCAAGAGGCCTCCAAGACGGCCAAGATGACCTTCAAGATGCCCACGTGTTCCCCGAAGGCTTTCCAAATCGATTCGGGGAACACATGGTCCGATAGCTTGGCAGGTCTGGCCTCAACGTTCGGCCACATAGGCGCTTCCAAAAAGGCAGGGGGCGGCGGTGATTCGCCGTAGGCGTCTTCGATAATAATCGTTTGCCAGCGGCAACCTACTTTTCGCTTTGTTTGACTTGGTGGTGGTATATCCGCAGTTGAAAACGGGCCTCAGCCCCAGACATGATCGCGTCGTTAGAAAAATAACGACGCCAGGTTTTTTGTTGCCATTTTCGGCATCTGGGGGTCCTCGCTGTGCCTCGGGAACTTCAAAAACACCTCAAGATAAAAAAAAACGATCCCGGGGAAAAGGTCGGGACTTCCGGGGACCGCGTATTGACAAAATCAGGACGTCGCATGTCCGGGTCTCTGGCACTCTTCCACCAAATTCCGGCTCACTGCGGCCTGTTCTGGCTTCATCCGGCCCGCTCCTGGGCGTATGCCGGCCCGTCTTACTCTGGCTCGCTCCAGCTCAGTGTCCCCCTAATCGGGCTTGGTAGTCCTTATTCTTTCTGTGGGGTAGCGGCGATGCAGAATTGAACCTCCCAAAAGGTTGCATCCAAAGCCCCGCGGGGTCGGGGAGGGCGCTGGGGACCGCTCTGGCAGGCAGAAGGCGGGACGCAGAAGGTGTTTCCCTGACGTCCTCGCAGAGGCCCAACGCGTCGAACAGCAACACACTCAGATTTTCACGATTCACGCTGGGCATCGCTCAATGGGGGGGCGATGAATGGACTGGGGGGGGAACGTGCCCCTTTCGTGCCCCTCTTGGGCCCCAGGGATCCCCTTCAGGGCACAGGAGGTGCACCTGTCCTGACCCCCGCTTTTATCACCCCCCCCATTGTGCACCGACCGAGCTTTGTCGCCATGCACGGTCTATTGGGGCCCTCGCTGGGGCCTGGGAACGTCATCGGCCAAGAGTGACCCTGAGCAGGAGTGACCTTTGGTGCTCGGCTTTTTTGGAGGCCGCGGGGGGGCCAGACGCCACTGCCGCCTCGAGTGCGGCGATCGGGGGGCCCCAATGCGCCCGCACCAAAGGTCACTCTGGCGAAGGGTCACTCTTACGTGTAGTCGATGTCACAAGAGGACTCAGGATGAAAAGCCGGCCCTGGGGAAAGGGTGGGGACTTCCGGGGTCCGCGAACTAATCACAACAACGCATCGGACCTTTGGGCTCGCGTCGTGGAAAGAATCACGGCGGACGGATATTGACTGTTCCATAAGACTGGGAAGGCCCCTACCGTGGCCCCTGGGCCGTGACAGAACGACTCAAAGTGACAAACCAGTCCGTCCCTGGGAAGGAAGGGGTGCAGACCTAAGGGGAGCAGCGTTGCGAAAAGCACGGCCACACAACCCACTCGCCATGGAGGTAAGGGATCTACAGGGTCGTCACAGCTCATCTAGGAAAGGCCTCCCGACAGCAATCCGATCACCCGCCAGCGCCTACGACAAACAACCGACGCCAATGCAGCCGCCACGAATCAGATCAACATGACTGCAACCACACAACAACCACTACTATGACCACGCCACCCGACGAGGGAGCGACAGCAAGGACAAGAACAGGCGCTGACACACAGACGACCACATACATACATACATACACACGAACACACGAACTCACGAACACACGAATACACACACGCACACACATACACGCACACGCACATCGCGGAGGAATCCCATTCAATACCACGACAAGCAAACGCGTGAAATGCTGCCTCAGAACGTGCCGATGCAAGAAACACATGCCTGGGAAACCTACAACTGCAAGATCGATACCCGCGCACCCACACGTCGAGTCCGAGGCCGAAGACTCAGAACCGCCCATGACAACTGGCCCGGCCAGCAGACCCACAGCACCATGAGCAAGGGAGAGATTCTCCAGAAGGTTCTCTAGAAGAAGGGAACGATATCGGGGCCTTCGACGTCGCTTAACAAACATGTACATTGTGCTCGCGCGCGGGTGGGTGGGTGGGGGGTGGGGCGCAACCCGGCAACCCCCCAAGGGCACCACCGAGCAACAAACCGATGGCGAAACTTGGTGGTGAGAGACGGCAGCAGAAGAGACAGCCGGGACATCAAGATGCGCAACCACAATCCCACAAACACAAGCACGGGCGCGTAAGCACACGCACCGAGAGCACAGCGTTAATCAAAAGGAATTGCCTGGCCTTGCGGCAGCGATATCTTCTGCTGCAGGAGCACCTCGGTCTTTCATCTCCTCAGGAATGTCACCAACCCAATCTGAAAAAATCGGCGGCCCGATGCAACGTGCACGGACGAGCGCCTGAAGAGGAGAACGGGACAGACCATGGCACCCCGAAAAAGACATGCAGTGGAGGCCCGACCACAAGAAACTCAACTCTGAGACACCAGGACGTCCACTGATTTTTGGTGCGGGGACGTCGCGCCTTCCACAGCAGAACCCTCGAAATCCAAGAAACCCAGGGCACGCTGGAGGCATGCAGGGTGTCTCCTGGCATGGGTCTCCACTGTAACGCATAATCGACCGACTTGAGAAACACGGAGGGGGCATGGGCGTGGCCGAAGTCACGTCGGGTCACGGCGGCGGGACAGAGCCTGCCCGACCTTCTGCAGAAAGCACCCCGGGGGGAACCCGAAGCGCTCCAAATGTGTACGGCTCGGGGGTCGGGTGTGGCGGGCAGCCTGCGGCCGTCCCTCCCAGGGACGCTCGGCGTGCCCCGTGGGGACGGGCCGAGCACTGCCAGTCTCTCCCCAGCCTCGGTGCGCCAGAGTTCGGTGGCAGCTCGTGCGAATCGACGCTGGTCGACGCTGAGTCGACGCTGGTCGACGTCAGATCGACGCTAGCCGACGCCAAATCGGCGCTGCCTCATCGGCTCTCAGGCGCTAATCGACGCCAAGGACGAAATTAAGAGGGAATACCAGGCTCCAATGATTTGCTACCGAACCAGAGGCATGCGAACGGGGGAGCGGTAACCACGAAAGCCCCACAGCGCGTGCAACTTGGTTGTGTACGTGCTCTTTCGCTGCATCGCACTCTTTCCCCGTGTCCTGTTACACTGCCTGCGTGGAGCTCCAAGTGTCGCCGCATGGTCTCTGACTTCAGAAGTCTCCCTCCATGCCGACAGGCGAGCATCAGGACATCAACGATTCGTGCAACAGGATGAGAGGGATGGAGAGGCTACAAATAACTCCGTCCATCGCGGAACAGAAACGATGCGGCAAGTCCAATAGCAAATTGCAGCATGGACATGTTAAAGCGTGCAGGTCCGCCGACCCCCAGCGGGGCGTCCAATCTTCGAGGATCACGCGGCATCGACGTCCGTGCTGTTCAGGCGGTGTGGGGGATGTAGATGTACCGTGCCCCCCTCCCCGGGAAGGGTCCACCTGGGCCGCCAGGAGTGTCCTGTCGCCCTTGTCCTGGGGTGTCTCAGCCAAAAGGGTCCTATGGTCCATGGCCGTTTTCATGTAGGGCGATGGGATTTGCACGTTTCGCTGCACCGACCTTGCAGACTTGCTGCAGCAGATTTTCGTGTGGATTTCTGTCAGCGACGGCGATCGAAAAACGAAGTGAATTGAACTTGGATTTTTTGTAGTCTTCATTTCTTCACTCCTGGCCCAAAACATTCCCACGAAACTAACTTCGAGATCCGGATCGAAATTCTCCAGGACAATCCAGGTCCATCCCATTGTTTTCCAAACGAAATCCGCTCTGCGATGTTGGCGCCACGAGCGCCGCCGCTGGCCAGGCCCATCCTTGGCCCACGAGCGGTGTATACGCCCCGTGGCTTGGCCAGGGAAGCACGTACACACCGCTCCCAGGACCCAGGAGGGACCTGGCCAGCAGCGGTGGATGTGTAAGATCTCGCCGCCCTATCCTGAGGGAAGAGGGCCACTGGAGGTCCCCAAGGGAACCCAGGAGGGCTCCCCCAAGGCCCCAAAACGGCCCAAGCCCGCCAAGACGGCCCAAGAGGGTCCCGGGACAGCCCAACAAGGCCCCAAGACGGCCCAAACGAGCCCCAAAAAGACCACAGGAAGGCCCGGAAACTCCTCGCGCCCTCAAGAAATAAACGCGATTTCAGTTCCAATGTCAGGCAGGTCGAGTCGCCCGGACCTCAGGACTCCTGGCCTTCCAGGCAGGCCTGCAAATGATGTTGCTTTGAACGATCCTCACCGAAACGTTCGGCGTGTGTTCCCAACAGTGCCACGATGTGACCTGACCTGTAATGGTAGATTATGGTATGATATGTTATGTCATGGTATGCTATAAAATTACTCCGATGGAAGGACCCCACATGAGAATCCTCTGGGCGAATCTGGAAAAAACCCTCACCGTCGTCCTCGTGGTTGGTGAGGCGTCCTGGCTGTCTCCTCTGCGTATATTTCTTCTCGCCCTGGCGCGGGGATACGTGCCGGGAATAGCGCTCTGCGAACACGACGAACACAAAATGGCCTACAGTTGGCTCCGGACATTCAAAATGTGGCCCGGGAATGGTGTTCTGGGAACACGAAGAACACGAAGTGGCCTACAAGTGGCTCCGGGCATTCAAAATGTGGCCCGGGAATGGTGTTCTGGGAGCACGAAGAACACGAAGTGGCCTACAGTTGGCTCCGGGCATCCAAAATGTGGCCTGGGAATGGCGTTCTGGCAGCGCGAGAGCCCAAAAATGGCGACAGTTATATGAATTGGATGACCCGCTCGGATTAGTAACATGATCCGCGGGCCCCATAGGGAGGGGGCTCCCGCTTGGGACTTCCTCGCAATTCACTCACAGACGAGGCCCATGTGGCCTGGGAATGGCGTTCTGGCAGCGCGAGAGCCCAAAAGTGGCGACAGTTACATGAATTGGATGACCCGCTCGGATTAGTAACATGATCCGCGGGCCCCATAGGGAGGGGGCTCCCGCTTGAGACTTTCTCGCAATTCACTCACAGACGAGGCCCATGTGGCCTGGGAATGGCGTTCTGGCAGCGCGAGAGCCCAAAAATGGCGACAGTTACATGAATTGGATGACCCGCTCGGATTAGTAACATGATCCGCGGGCCCCATAGGGAGGGGGCTCCCGCTTGAGACTTCCTCGCAATTCACTCACAGACGAGGCCCATGTGGCCTGGGAATGGCGTTCTGGCAGCGCGAGAGCCCAACAGTGGCGACAGTTATAGGAATTGGATGGCCCGCTCGGATTAATAACATGATCCGCGGGCCCCATAGGGAGGGGGCTCCCGCTTGAGACTTCCTCGCAATTCACTCACAGACGAGGCCCAAGGCGAGTGAGTGAGTGAGTGAGTGAGTGAGTGAGTGAGTGAGTGACTGACTGGTGATGATGATGATGATGATGATGATCATCACACTCTCTCACGCGCACACTCATCATCATCATACGTGAGTGCTGATGAGTCAGTGAGTGAGTGAGTGAGTGAGTGAGTGAGTGAGTGAGTGAGTGAGTGAGTGTGTGAGGGATGATGAGTGAGTGAGTGAGTGAGTGAGTGAGGAATGATTGATGATGATGGTGGGTTCCTGTTCCTGCGCGGGGTGTCCAGAGAAAACAAGAACCCCACTTTGGATTTGGGGAATACAAGGCACGCTTTGGTATGAGGTGTGGTGTTTATGTTCTGTTCGGCACGATACATTACGTCATAGCTTATGGTATCATGACGTGCTACGTCCTTCTATGCAATAGCAACTTAGACTGCGCTCTGTCATGCTATGATGTGCCATCTGAACTGCGGCACGATCTGTCATGCTATACGTGCTGTCATGCCGTGTTACGAGGTGGTGTGCTCTGTCATGGTATATTATGGTATGCTGTATTATGCCATGATATGGTATGAAATGCTCTGCTAGGTTATGTGATGGATGCTCCGATCTGTCATAGGATGCACTATTGTGCTCTGTTGTGCTACGGTAGGCAATGCCATGTTATGTGACACTGTGACCTGTTCTGCATTGGTATGATCAGTTCTGAGATGTGGTCTAATGATATGGTTTATTTGCAATGTTGTGTCATGCTCTGTGCTGTGATGCTGTCTTATTATGGTATGCGTTGATGTGCCATGGTGTGGTATGCAAAGATGGGCTGTCATGATGTGGTATGATATGTTCGGGTATGTCATGTGAGGTGGTGTGGTGTTATGCTCTGCTCTGGCATAGCTCAGTGCTGGGCTGTAATATGTTCTGCCATGTTATAATACCGCTCTGCCACGGTATGACTTATCGGCGCGAAGCGGGACACTCGGGGACAATCGGGAAACCTGGTGATCTGGCCAACGCGGTATGCAGAGTGGCGCGAGGCGGTACACTAGGGGACACTCGGGAGACCTGGGGATCTGGCAAACGCGGTATGCAGAGTGGCGCGAGGGGGGACACTCGGGGGACCTGGGGATCTGGCGGCCGCGGTATGCAGATTGCTGCGAGGGGGGGCACTCGGGGGACCTGGGGATCTGGCGGCCTCGATATGCAGAGCGGCGCGAGGCGGGACTGTCGGGGAAACACGGGGAACCTGGGGATTTGGCGGCCACGGTTTCCAGAGTGGCGTGAGGCGGGACTCTCGGGGACACTCTGGACACCTGGGGATCTGGCGGCCACGGTTTCCAGATTGGCGTGAGGCGGGATTCTCGGGGACTCTCAGGGGACCTGGAGATCTGGCGGCCGCGGTGTGTAATGGAAAGGATCTGGAAGCCTGCTCTTAAATTCTAACGACCGCAGCCTGCCGGGTGGGGACCGTCTCCAGATCGGGGCTCCCAGAGCCTCTGGTAGCCCAAGGTGCGGAGGGCCGCGATCATGGGCTGGGCGAGCAATGCTATGCGATGCGCAACGTGAGGCGTGTCGTGAAGGTGTTCCAAACTGTGTGGTGCACAATGCGTGGTGCAACCAACGTGGAGCAATCGATGTGGCGCAACGAAAACGAAATGTCGCACAAACGTCCTACCCGCTCACTTACCCGCAACTCGTTGACAAACCCAACCTGGGGCCACGTTATCGCCTTCTCATGCAGTGGCAAGACTCGGGCGGGCGAGAGATGATGACGACGGCATCGCCGGCGGCGACAACGAGAGCGACGACAACGACGATGAGCATGCTTACGACGATGGTGGTAACGTTGACAACGAGCGAGATGAAGCCGATGGAGATTACGTAGCACCCCGCAGATGCGAATAAGAGTGAGCGGGCGGTGGGGACGTCGGCAGTCTGCGAGACTCTGGAGAAGCCCGCCGCAAGCGCCAACATTTCACAAATTATGCAACGAGCCCGCCGCAAGCGCCGATATGTTCTTCAAACCAATGTGGATCGGTCGCGGGTGGGTCGCGGGTGGGTCCCGGGGTGGGTCGCGGGTGGGTCGCAAATGGGTCGCTGTTGGGTCGCGGGTGGGTCGCGGATGGGTCGCGGGGTGGGCCGCGGGTGGGTCGCGGGGTGGGTCGCGGGTGGGTCGCGGGTGGGTCGCTGGGTGGGTCGCGGGTGGGTCGCGGGGTGGGTCGCGGGGTGGGCCGCGGGTGGGTCGCGGGGGTGTCGACGACAACAAACAACAACAGCAGCAGCAGCAACAACAACACCACCACCAACAACAACACCAACAACAACACCACCACCAACAACACCACCACCAACAACACCACCAGCAACAACACCAACAACAGCAGCAACAGCAACAGCAAAAACAATAACAACACCAGCACCAACACCAACACCAACACCACCAACACCACCAACACCAACACCACCAACAACAACACCAACAACAACACCAACAACAACACCACCACCAGCAACAACAGCAACAACAACAACAACAACAACAACGCAACCAACATACTCCTCACCACGGATTCTCACTTCAGCCACGCACCCAGGGACAATGAATGACCGTTCGGCCCCCTCACTCTGATCAGGAGATAGCCATGATGACGCCGGCGATGACGATGGAAAACGTAACATATAATGAATCTGATAAAGACTTCGGCGGCGACGAGGGATCCGTCGATGCCTGGTTTTGGGGGCTGGCGGCAATGGCCGACTACCTTCCGATGAGGTAGGCACCAGTCCTACACAAGCGTTCGCGCAAATGTTAAAAGGCCTCCCAGATGGAGCCCGAATAGGTAGGGTCGGGGGGTCGCGCCACATCGCTGATGCATCGCTGATGCATCGCCGATGCATCGGCGACGTCGACAATGCATCTGCGACGTCGGCGTAGAGAACGTCTGGCTCCACATCGAGCCGCATCGCCGATGCATCGCCGATTCGGCGCGATCCTCCGACCCAATATACCCCGATTCCATCTGTGTGGACTAGAACAAATTAGACATCATTCCTACAAGAACGACCGTGCCGATGTCCTGAAACACGTCGGCGATCATCTGCTCCTCATTGTGGTCCACCGCGAACTGCAACATCTCCTGACGTGAGAGGCGCCACCGCTATCAGCGAGCGCCACAACGCTCTGGAAACAGAGAACAACATCTGCGCTCGGATTGGGCATGGTGGATCCGATCCAATCCGTCACCTGATCGTCCGTGTCTTCACTCCAGCGCCACGATTTTCTCGTCGTCCTGGATATCCCCATCGCCCTGAAAGTCCGCCGATATCTGTCTGCCGCATCCGCGGTACAAGAGATCCCGACCGCTTCCCCAGGGCCTAGTTTTTCGCCCAAGAGCCATGTTTTGTTGCCCAGGGGTCCGAGAGCTGCCCCCCGATGGTCGACATCGAAGAGAGACCGACGCCTTGAAAAAAACGTCTGGTTGCGGGATAGCCGGCCCGTGACCAAAAAAGCATGGCTGCTCGTGCTGGGCATACATTGGCAACCCTCTGTCACGATACAATCAACACTGGCAATCATTCTGCGTGAAGAAGATGCAAGACCCGTGAACGCCCATGCCGATGCTGTTCGAGCGGGGATGGCCATCGAACGCGGTTCAGGATAGACCGAAGAGGCCAAGGCGCAACCATACTCTTGGCATGTTTACCCATCCTTGCCACTGGTTTCGACAATATTGTGGATTCTGGGCCACGTCTACATCCCAGAGCAGGAGGAGGCGGAGGCGGAGGCGGAGGAGGAGGAGGAGGCGGAGGCGGAGGCGGAGGCGGAGGAGGAGGAGGAGGAGGAGGAGGAGGAGGAGGAGGAGGAGGAGGAGGAGGAGGAGGAGGAGGAGGAGGAGGAGGAGGAGGGGCGCGGGAAGGGGCATGCCGCCCATTGCCCAACGCGCCATGCCCGCCGCCGCGACCCTGGCGGCGGCCTGCAGAACCCGTCCCGAAGGCTCGGTTCGGGCGGGGGAGGCGTGAGGCTCGGGATCGGCGATGCCTCGGCGATGCATCGGCGATGCCTCGGCGGCTTCGGCGTGGAGAAAAAGCGGGTCCCACATCGAGCCGCATCGCCGACGCATCGTCGACGCGGCGCGGACCTCCGACCCCATCTACTCGGACCCCAGACGCAAGACTCGGGTTCGGAGGACTCGGGTTGGCCCGACGAGGCCGTCAAGAAACTAACGAAGCCCAACCTGAACTTTGGCGCGAGCTCCCGCTGCAGCCATCCCACGACAACGGGGCCTTCCAAATTCAGGACGGGACCGCCAAAGAGCGTCGGCAAACCCGAATCATGCCGAACTCGAGCCGTACGGCTGGCGTCGCAAATATGGCGTGCAACACCGATCTCCTAGAAGCACGCTATCCCCCAACATGTAAGTCTCGAACGTATATCTGAATTTTGAGCGAGGGATCCTTCAGTGAACGCTACTCCCCTGCCAGGGCTTCCTCCGTGCACGCCATCCCCAGACAGGAGGATCGAGTGTAATGAGCGAAATAGCGTGTATCTTTGCGGCGCCAAGCGCACGTTTCCCCGATCGGGGTCGAACGTCACGCAACAATCGTCGGATATCTGTGTTCATCCTTCCCTCCTCCTTCTCCTCCTCCTCCTTCTCCTCCTCCTCCTCCTCCTCCTCCTCCTCCTCCTCCACTGGGGAATCTAAGAAGTACCGATAGCGCGACTCCTCAGGCCTCTCCGGGGGTGCGTTCTGACCAGGATTTCGAGGCGAATCCAGCGGTGGCGACGAAGGCCACCCAGGAGGCCCAACAATTGGAAAACGGGGCGACGGGTAGCAGTATGGGTACCTGTTTCTCCTCCGATCCTCCTCCTCCTCCTCCTTCTCCTCCTCACTATTTCTCTCCAGCGGGACGTTGCGGAATTCTGGACTCTTCGCAACTTCGTTTCTGGCCTGCGGCCGCCGCGATGGGCCGCGCGGTGACCTTCCAAAAACCGACCACCGATGCCTCTGGTCAGGGATCGGACAGCACGCAACGATGTGGTCGGAGCTCTGGGCTAGGCCCGACCCTGGGACAGAAAAGCATCCCTCAAATTGGGCGTAACTGCTTAGCTTAAGGGGGGGCGCTACATGAGGCGGGGGGGAAGACAGGTGCCCTCAGGTGCACTTCTCAGGCCCTTGAAGGGCCCGTTGAAGGACCCTAAAGGGAATAGTTTCTGCAGCCCTCGCTGCCTCCCCATTTGTCCCCCCCCACCACGAGAGGCCAAATAAAGAGTACGAGGCCCTCCAGCAGCCAAACTGAAGAACATTCAAGCGTACCCTCCCTCAGAATGCGCAAGAACATCCAACAAGCACGGAGAACATTACGGTACCTTAGGAGGCAACTGCTGGGAGGTCTTCCTCGGAAGGATTAAGGAGGAGTGAGTCCCATTGGGGGGTTGCTACGCCAGACTAGGTTGCGGACTAAGCGGGACTAAGCCGGATTCGGCGGGATTGAGCCGGATTGAGCGGGACTGAGCTGGATTAAGCGGGATCAAACCGGATTTCGGACCAGGGCAAAGTCAGAATCTGACCTCCCAGGAATTGCATCTGAAGGTGCCCTCCCCGAACGCCTCGGCCCGACCGACCGGTCGGACCCAGGCCGGAACGACATCCCTCAAGAACATGAGACCCTCCGTCGGCCAAAACAAATAGAACATCCAAGGGAGCCTCCCCAGGATGCACAAGAACATCCAACAAACACGATGAACACCTCGACCGTATCCTCCTTCGCCAATCTCCCTCGTCGTGCTGCCGCTGCCGCTGCTCCTTGCCGCTGATCCCCCCGCCGCCACCGCCGCCGCTGCTCCTCCTCCTCCTCCTCCTCCTCCATTCCTTTTCCTTATAACAAACTTATCCATGTCGCACCCCGAGGCCAGTTTTTAGGGCGTGCCAGGCGTTTCGCCTGAGACCTCCTCACCATTTATGATTCTGGATCCTAAAACATTGGCAACAATTTAACAGATGGAGGGCGGGCGGGTGGTCTTCAACATGTGGCTCTCGCCGTAGCGCCGCGCACATTCGTTCTGAAACTTTGCAGGAGCTTCACGGATTGAGGATCACCCGTTTTCAAAATGTGGCTCTCGCACTAGCGCCGCGCACATTCGTTTAAACAAATTCACAGAATTCTAGACGCTTCGCGTATCCCCACCTACCCGGCCAATTTACATCGTACCGCGCCCTGGACGTTGTGCCCGCTCCTTGTCCCTCGCCTTGGAGCCGCGAACCAAAAAAGTGTCCCGACCTACCGTTCGTCAGGGGCATCAGCCATCGCCCCAAGCGCACCTGCCGGTGCACCCCCGAGGACGTGCTACACCAGCTCCCAGAGGCTTGGAGCCAAGATACTGGGAAATGCAAGCGGCACCGGGTGCACCCAGGGATGCAACACCTCCAGTCCCTGCTCCGCCCAGGCCAAGATGACTCGGCGCTTAGGCTTTCCCTACTCAGCAGCGACGGGCTCCCCTTAGACACCCCCTCGCTCAGGGTCCTCCTGGTGGTGATGATGCTCCAGCTGCGTGAGCCCCGAGCAACGCTTTGGCCATTCCCGCACCCCGAGGCCACGGGGGACATCATCGAAGCAGCCATGGGCCTCTGCCTCCCCTGGCAGGACGCCCAAAAGGAGTACAGGGCTCAGTTTGCTGCGGCCTGGGGCTTCGACCTGAGTGCCTTCGCATCCCTCCATGGGAAAATGGAGGATGCCATCAGGCACATCAGCACGCTCGCCACCTTCGCTCACCACCACACGGTTGCGACCATCCATGGTTGCCCCAAAACGTGGTCAGGGATGCTGGAACACAAATTCACCCTGGAAGCCCCCATGCGGATGCTGGAAGCTATCGTCAAACCGGCTGACATCAAGTCCCTGGGCCAGGGGGGCTGCTCCATTTGCACACTGCACAAGGAGCTAGCTGGGACAGAGGCTGGGCTTGGCCGCCCAGACACAATGGCAGACGTGCAATACATCGGCGGGGGAATTGCCATGTCCAACAAGCGCCTGGACGAGGACTTCCCCGCGTCCCCGGCCCCCGGCACCGTGCTCATCCCCCCCGCCGTCAGCGACGGCAGGTTCCTCACCAGGCAGCAGGGCGGCAGCTACGACTGTGACGGGTGCACTAACGCGGGGCTCCAAGGTGCAGCAGGTACCTGGGAGGACGACGACACGAGAGAGCTGCTGGCGCAGAACCGCTCCCAAGCCTACATGCAGGGCCGAAACTGCAGGTGGCTACTATGGATCAAGTCACTTGAGAAGAACGGCATCGAGGTTCCCCCGGCCGGAAGCAAAGACCTCGCGCCAAGAAGTCGCTGCAGCAGCGCCTCCAGGAGCACAAGCGCAGACTGGACGAGGCTCGCTCTCGAAGGAAAGCCCGTGCCCTCCCCCTCCTGGACCGGCTACCCATCGGGTACGGGCAGCCGACCGCCGCATCGCTCCCCACCTGCCTGGGTGACCTCGTCATGCGCACTCCGCCCGCCTTTCAGCCACAGAAGGTCGGCACCACCCTCCCAGCTCACAAGCTGTCGGACGGCAGGTTCGGGCCAGACTCGCACCGCACGAGCACCTACACCGCTATGTGCGACACCTGCCCCCCGGGGTCGCCACTGCTCGTGTGGGCGGCAGGCAGCCCCGCGCTCGGCTGCTTCATGTGGCGCCCGGAACCCGGGGCACCACGCGACGAGCAGACAAGGCTCCCGCCATGGGACGTGATGCCCACGCTCTGGACACAGCAGCAATGGAATGCAGGTTGGGCCTGCAGGAGATGTCTCATCCACACCTGGAATGTGGCACCCGGTGCCCTCGACCGCACTTTGGACCTGCACTCCTCCGAGGTGCGCCCCCCCGCCCCTGCTAAGCGCGCAGCAACAGCAGAAGTGCAAGAGGAGAGCTGCGACATCAGCGCCCACCTCTCCCCATCAGGCGTCAATGCAGCGGCGAAGGACGCCTATTCAAGGCCATCGGCCCCAACGGGCGAGTCCACCTCCAACGACATGGAGCTCAGCAGTCCAGCTGCCGGCGAGACCGTCTGGGCCCGTCGTGACAGCAACTCCGCGTTCCCCAACTCGGACCCACCAGCGTGTCCCGTCCTGCCAACCCTATCCACCTACCG